TACCCGCCATTCAAGCTCCGCACCGAGCCTTCGAAACAGAACCCTCACACGCTTGTGGATGGGAAGTTTCTGGCTTTGCAACTCATCGTTAACGGGCGAGCTGGGCCAAGAATCCGGGAGTTGCTAAATTGGGACCTGACTGCACTCGACGAATACATCCACCGCTGCAAACTGGGACCCTTCCGACCTGGCGTGGCTCGAGGTCTGGCGGAGGAGATGGCCACGGCGCCGAACCAAGCGGGGCAGGCGCGAGCAGCGAAGGAGCTGCAAAAGCTGCGTTCAAAGGCCCGCTCGGAGCTGGGAAAGCTACGTCGGATCCAGGAGAACCGGCTTGACCAGCTCAGAACACCCGAGGAGCCAGGAGCCCTTCCGCAGAAGGAAGACAAGGGAAAAGACTCCGCAATCGCTGCTGGGTCTGCATTCCCACAGGACGTCGACATTCCTGCCTCTCAGTTCTTCGGACCCCTGCAAGTGAAGGGTGTAGAGCTGAAGAGGATATATTTGTGACAGGCCTTTGCCACTGCTAGATTGGATCCCTGCTTCGACAACATCGGCTTGATGTATCGCGAAGTGGACTGAGACTGCAGACCATACTTGAATTTGCAGGTGAGCTTTGCATTGCAGCTGGGTTCCTGTGTCTTGCATGTCTGTCGTGTTTGTTGTGTCTACTGGGCACCCTGGATTGTCCCAAGCGACTGCATCCATGCAACACTTTGCTTTTCCAGAAAATGCTTTGAGCAGCGTCGTGTGCTCTCTCCTGACGGGAACAATCCAGGCAGTTTCTGCAGATAGAGGTAGTGGACTGCTGCCAGTATAGTGCTTCCAGGACCCAAGCTGTATTGCTATCAGAATTGTTCGGGGCTTAGGAAGTGGGTCTTGCAGTCATTGTTGCGACTGTTGCAGTTTAGGCTACGGATCTGAGACAGTTGAATGTTGAAGTGAGCCCTGCGCGAGCACTGTGCACAAAAATGTCCGGATGACTTCCAGGAAAGCGATGAGAGCCTGGAAAGTTTACCCTGCCCGGACTCCCTGTCGGCAACTCATCGGGTCGGGCACCATCGGGCACCGGCTTCGTGGATCGAGCCAAGTCCCGATTCCCAGAATCAGCCCAACCGCAGCTGACCTCGCTTTTCACGTAGCTTTCTTTTGTTGGAGATGATGCCCGACACAATGCATGGCCAGAGAAGCCTTGACATGCCTCCTCCTTGAACCTGCGCCTTCCCCGCGGGTACCTCGGGTACCTCCACACAGCTGGTTTGCGAGAGTCAAAGTGAAGTATGCTGCCGAGAAGCTGAACCCTGGAACTCCGAGATCCCCAATTTCAACTGCAGCCGGTGATGGAGAGCCCATGCAGTGGCGCGGGCCCATTTCGTATACTCTGAGGCTGATGCAAGCCACCTTCCACGGCTCGAGGGCTCAAGGTGTACATGTGTACAAAGAAAAGCAATACCAAGATCTTCAGCCTCGGGGATTTAGCTCCTGGGAATTGTTGTAACGAAGTTACATAGCGAAGCTCCCGGGAATGGTGCCGGCATGTTCAAAGCCGCTTAATGTATTGCCCTAAGCAAGATCCTAAGTCCAAACAAAACTACTTGACTACTATAGAGCATTTCTTCAGCCCGGCTTCCCGGACGGTGAACATGTGATGCACGCAAATACCGATTTTTTATGCACATGAAGCTAGCTGCACAATGGGTGCTCCAACTGTGTACAGGTGCGGCGTGTGAATGCACGAAGAGAGTTGCGAAACGACAAGAACTGGAGCACTCAGCAGAACAGCCGCGCCGGGTGCATGCGGAAGCCGCTGCCTAGACAGCGCCGCAAGGGCCTACGGCGTTGGCTTGGAGGCTGTTTCCACAACGCCTGGACCGCTGGGCATCGCAGTACAAGCTTGCTGGAGAGTCTGCAATCTCACCTTGCATTTGCATCTGTAGGTTACGGTTACAGCTCTAATACTCTTTGTCCCTCTATGTCCTTTTCACTTTTCTTGCCTTATTGCTGCTGTGATCCATGCTGGCTCTCGGTCTCGTCATGTCCCAGTCGCAAGCTCAGACCGTTACCGCCCTGCCTGCTTTGCGAGTGTGTGAGTCGAAACCCCTACAGAAGTACAAGGGCAAAACCTCAAGCCCTGCTCCTTAAACCTCGTATAAAGGCAGGCCCGGGATTCAAGACGCCCCAATCTCCTCGCCGTGACTGTCGGCAATTCTTGTTTCTCTTGTATTTCTCACAGTCGGCAGCTCTTGTTCAATACGGCCGAATATTTAAGATGTCCATGGGCACTTGGCGCATTTCTGGGGCAGCGACTCCTGGCACCCAACCACAGCTAAACAACTGACCAACGACCCGGCAATTAGTTCCCACGCGGAGCGCAGGGACTACATTGATGCTTGTGGTGAGCACCCAAATCCGAAAAACAACATCGCCGTCAACCTTTTTCGGTTGAAACCAGTGTGGACGTCTTAAATCCGGCGCCCGGCTCTTAAGCCTGTAACAGCAAGCTCAAGCTCAAGCCGTGACTGGAAAGGACCGCTCCAAAAGCGCCTCCCTTGAAAACCTCCAGATCATGTCTACTGAAGTGGCTTCCGGAAGCGCCAAAGTCTTGAAGTGTGCCACACCAACCGACTACGCACCAACAACCTCGTCTGGCTTGTCCGAGTGTGAGCGCCGACAGTCTTGAGGCGGCTTAGGGCCACCGTTTTAACACACAAACATGCGGGACAGTGTGCGGTGCGGCAAACTGCATGCCGCACACCACATAATAGGATCCTCAGCGCAAGGACCCCGGAATAATGTGGGTTACGCTCCTATGTGGTATTAGTTAGGCAATAACCTTTCAAAGAAGAAATTCTGTCTGAGGCGATGTTGATGCTCCGGGAGTCATTTCTGACGGCAAGAACTGGTTTCAGAAATGCTACTGTTAGGGTTCAATAGTAAGAACTCGGAAAACCCTAATCCATTTAACCAGGCTTTCACTTTAGGGCACTTCAGGCAAAATTTTGGGATCAAGCATGCACTGATGATCTTCTGTGTACTTGTGTTATGTCACCGTGGCCATGCGACATCCGTACGATGGTTGGCTCGCAAGGCTTCCTGCATCCAGATGATAGTCTAGCAGCCCGGATGACCATAGCCCAGTAGAGACTTGCAGGGGTAGATTATGATAAGACCAAGTATGCTTGACCATTGAATCGCTGAAGACCAAGACCGTTTCAGACTCAAACCCTGCACCCCGAACCAAGGAAGGCTGCTCTTTCCGGCGCAAGACGGACTGAGTCGGTCGGTTCATCCTCCGCAACGAGTCAATGCCAGATTCGCAGGATGTGACAGATTGAGAGCGCTGTCCCGTCAGTACACAGCTGCGCTTGAAGTTGGCTGGTTCTGCAGATGCCAGCATAGCTTTAGTGGAATCTTTGATCTTCGGTATCGACAGAATCAGAACGAAAATTGTGAATTCCAGGTCTGAATCCGCATTTTCTCTGCTCTGAGCCATCACTCCAAAATGCAGAGAGGTCCATGCAAATCAGCATAACTTCAAGCGAAGCCCGCTCCTTGCTGCCAGAGGAACGCGGGGAGTGGCAAAACCTGCTCGCACTAGACCTTTTTTACAATCAGTATTGCGCTGAGAAGCAACTGGGACACCAACATTTGAGGCGGATGCACTGGATGTTTGAATAATTAAATTACCATGCTTCCTTCTCAATTCTCGGTTGCACCATAAAGGGCTCTGGCTTGGTAAATTTAAACACTTTTCAACCACCTTCCTTTTATACATGAGAAAGTAGAAGTTAATTCGATGTTCCAACTTTCTGGTCTTCCCTGTTCAGCCATCCTTCCCCTAAAACATCCTTCCGCTCCACCCCCGACCGAACCCACATTAACCTAGCATGCAGGCACATATCGCACGGCAATACGGAGGATCGTCGAAGGAATGGGAAGTCCTACATGCTCTTGAAACCTCTATATACCTGCAAGCCACATTTTCGAACGCGTGCCGCTCCTCGAAGATCTGCTGCGTACCTGCTCACCCGTCAGAGCCAGGCAGTCTTCCACGGCCTACATTTGGGTTGAAGCTCGCGGGTTGCATTACCAGCCCCGTGTTGGTCACTGCTTGTCAATCTCATCGGGGCCTTGCAGAAGCCTCGAACCTAGAGAGCATGGTAACATGGCAACTGAAACCCTACAATCAGCAATTCCCCTCGCTCTCATGCCGCACCGATCGATATGCATGTGCAGGGTGGTGGTGCAGCCCGTTGCGTTGCAACCATCATGGACACACACGGTGGTTCTTCGGGCTTAAAACCTCGCAAGTTATTCCCACTCAGCCCGAAAACAGTTTTGCCAAAGGAGTCTTCCGATTCGTCTTCACTGGTATTTCAGCCCTGATGCAGTGTAGCACCGAACACTTCTGCGCACTGGAATCTTGAGATTGGCAAAATGTTATACAAAGGCTTAAAGTTCCTGGAGGTCGGCCCTGAAAAGAGGAACCCTTGAAGTCCTTTCAAGCCCATCTGGATTATTCCCTAAACTAGGAGGAAGCCCGAAACCCAGACACCCAAGAGCAAAATCTCTGGATGGTACATGGCAAAGGCCGCCTGCCTGAGCTCACACTGGTCGTCGAAAGCCCTGCTGCATTGCAGAATCTGCAGGGTTCTCAGGGCCTGATGGTACTTTCACCTTCAAAGAGCCTTGTCCCGACTACCGGGCAAATGAGCGGCATGTGTGTGCAGCATCGAACGGAATCCCGAACACAACCGGATGCCAAGTGTTAAGCAGCATGGTATGGAGTCTTCAGAAGCCGCAATAGTCAAGCACTGGCCCTGAGAATGCCAGGATAAAACGCAGCTCGACAGTTGTCCAAAGCGCTTCGAAGCGCCAGGGTTTCAATCGCAAATACGGTTTCGGGTGCATAACATTTAGCGGCCCTTACAGCAAGGATACGGTGGGCAGCACCAGCACGTTTTGTTCGACAGGTTTCCCAAGGCGAGCAAGTGCTTTGGACAACTACGGCCTCGCAGCGCCGGAGACTAGAGCATCACAATGATATAATATAGGTCATGTATATAGCATTTGGGGGACCAATCGGCCCAATCTGACGTTGACACTCGCATCTTGTTCCTGAGAGTGTACCGATACATCGATATATATATATATATATCGATTCCGATATGGATATAGATAGAGATATATGTATACATACATACATACATACATACATACATACACACACACACTTCTGCATTGCTGACAAGGTTCCGACGTTTGAAAGTTGTTATTCAGAGAAGTCTGGGGTGCGAGGGCGTGAGGCTAATGGACCAGAGGGTCGCCCGGGCCTCCAAAGCAATGATCGTTGGGTCTGCTGGTGCCCTTTCGCCCAGAGGTGTATAGATTTGCAAAAGATCTAAGGGACTGTGCGACCGGTCCAAAATTTCTGTGAGAGTCCGGGGCTTGCATGATAGGATTCAGGAATCAAGAATTCTGCAGTTTGGGTTGGCATTTGGGCTTCTTGGTATTCAAAAGTGTATGAGCTGTAACGTAGAAGGGTCTTGAAGCGTGGGCTTTTGGTTTGGGGGGGTGGGGGGGTGGGTTTTCTCTCCCGAAGACAGCTGTCCCGCATCCTTGGCATCCGCGCAAGAAGCACGAGTCCATGTGCCAGATTATCCTGATTGCCTGATTGTATCAGTCTCCCACATGTGCCACGCATAGAAATACTCAGGACATAACAAAGCCGAAACTAAATATCCTGAGTGTCGTCATGACTGCTGCTGCAGGGGCCAGGCGGTCAGCCCCAATTCTTGGTAGCAGCTGACCGACACGCCGCTCGGCACACCTCCATATCTTCCAGAGACCCTTGATATACAAGGATAAGAATCCCTGAAGAGGCTGCTCGTCCGTGTTGACATGTAGTCGAGTTGACTTCTGTAGTGTTGGGCTCTGAGGCTCTGGCGTCTGAAGTTTCAGGTTTCAAGCTGAAGAGGTGATGAAAGTACTAGGAGGTGAGTGAAGAGCTCACCAGAAGCTCCGGGTCCGATTATGAGACTTGTAGTCAACCTGCTGGCAGTTGCTCTTAGGGTTTAGAAGCGAGGAGCTTATATAACTTCTAAGAGCGAAGCATGTATGCAAAGATTTCCGATCTTGGTGGAATTTTGGGATTCGATTACGTATGAAGTTAAAGGATAGTTCACGCCTCACGCAATCGCCTTTGCTTGGCCCCCGGCATGGCCGCAGCCACGAGGCAAATCGCGTTGCCGTGCTCATTCCTGGAACACAGACCCCCAGCGACTCCTGGCCGCCTTTCATGGACTTGCGAAGGATGATGAGGATGATGACGTTCCAAATTGTCCCAAAACCACTCAAAGTTAACCTGCTGGTGTTCAGGGTCAAGGCTTTATCGGGCTTCAGGCGCTCGGACGCCCTACTGTAGTTGTTGTCTGGATCGTTTTCGGCAGCAACAATGCACGGAGCCAGCGCTTGTAAGGGCAAACCTCTGCACCTCCGACTCCATTTCTAACAAATCATGAACGGCACGCACCACCAACTCAACTCGACAAAGCTGAAGCTCCATTCAATACTAGAATCCCGAGTCTACCAGAACAGCAAGACAGCTACCAGTAGCACTAATCTTCAAGCAATCTACGGTAGTACGTGGAGGGGGTGGCTGTGACAGTACTTTTGAAGTGGCGGTAGTAGCTGTTGTTGCAGTTGCACAAGGTGTGAAGCTACCAGGTACCAACAAGCCTGGCACCGCCAAGCGCTTTTGGCATACTCCTCCTCCTCCTCCCAATAACCGGAAACCATCATCACCATTGCCACCTCCTACGAGCTGGCCCTCTCAATGGCCAAGGATTGTGTCACGGATCTGAAAGCATTGCCGGTAAAAGTGCGAGCTGATGGAAGGCCGGGGAGTTCAACTCGCAGTTTGAAAAGCAGAGTTGTTTCTGTGTTGGGGGTGCGATGTTTTCAGGTGGGGAAACCTAATCCACAATATGCACAGACCATATGTGCGTCGGCCTAAACCCCCGTTATGTGCTCAGGATGTCTTGCGGCGAAGGGTTCGCTATCAGGCTCAGAGTCTCATGGCAGGGCCTGACTGGCTGGAATGCTTTAAACCGGCTCGGTTTGGGGCCTTGTGTCGTTCTCAGGCAGGGATCGTGTAGCAAGGCACATGCAGCATTACCCAGAGGTTGCCAAAAGTCGGTTTCCGTCAGTGGGCTGCTATCTGTTTAAAGATCCCGGCACTCCGGGTCTACGGATACCTCGGCCCCACCCAATACCCTAAATCACCACGCTTCCAATCAGAGAGCTGGAAGAGGAAGCTTCCGCACCAAAGGCTTTCTCTCGGTTGCCAGGGACTGAGGGGGTTGACACTTCAACCTTCCCTTTCTGCAGAGTTGTTAGCTAGTTCGGATTCTGCCTTGGAAAAAGGGCTTCAGTGTTTCCATGACGAGGGCTCTGTTCAACTTTGAGGGCTTAAGATCTTCAGGGTGTATACAATGTTATATGCAGATACATACATACATACATTCATTCATACATTCATACATTCATACATACATTCATTCATACATACATACATAGTGGGAGCCAAAATAGATACATACACACACGTATGCATACATACATATATATATATGCGATATGTGCGTATGTATGTATAAACCATATTTATATACATATATATATATACACATGGGTGTGTGTGTTTATATTACACAGGCACACACCCACACAAAGACACACACACACACGTACGTATTATATATATGTATATATATATTTATTTATTTATGTCTGTCTGTCTGCCTGTATGTATGTACGTACGTATGTATGTGTATGTGTATGTGTATGTGTATGTGTGTGCGTATGTGTATGCGTATGCGTATGCGTATGTGTATGTTTATGTGTGTATGTCGTGTATGTGTGTACGTGTGCATGTGTGTATGTATGCATGTATGCATGTATGCATGCATGTATGCATGTATGTATCTATGTATGTATGTGTATGCATGTACGGATGTATGTGTAAATATGTGTCTATATTTCTGGTTATATATTCATTTATATATTCAGATACATACTTGCATACATACATACATACATACATACATTCATACATACATTCATACATACATTCATACATACATACATACACACACACACATACATACATACATACATACATACATACATACATACACACATACACACATACGTACATACGTACATACGTACATACGTACATACGTACATACATACATACGTACATACGTACATACATACATACATACATACATACATACATGCATAGAATACAGCTGCATACAAGAGCGAAATCCCTTAAACCGGCGTGTAACAGCACCCACACACTTGGTGAACCATGTCAGCAGGACCATCGGCTGGGTTCACTGCGGCATGATGCGTCAGGCACCATCGGGACCGGAAAGGGAAGGTCTTTTTCAAAAAGCACTGCTGTCATTCTTATTGTTCGTTTATCACTCCTGTGCTTAACTTCCCGAATACCCAAAACCCGAAGCCTTCGCGTGCTTAAACAGCCAGAACTCCCCAAACTCGACGAATCCAGGCACTTGAAAGTGCCGAATGAGAGTGTGACGTCGGGTGTACGTGGGCTATGGTCGCCAGTTTTCGCTTTAGGGCTTAACGCATAGACGACGCTCCCACGTAGCAGGTTCCAGACAGTCGGCCAAATGTGACGTCATGCTGGTCCAGCCTATGTTCGTGGCACACTGTTGCCAATGTGCAAGTTCCTGACAAGTTTCGGCATATCTATAGAGAGAGAGCCGGAGAGAGGAGACAAGACTCCCATGCCCCGAATTGAAGTGAGGTGACTGGGCAAGATGAGAGATGGGCGTATGTGGGTGCCTGTCACTTGATGTTTACTCATTGCCGGTGTTTGTTTGAGTCTATTGACTGCATCAGACAACAATTGGATGACCTCGGCTTGACGTGGAGTTTCAAGACCACTCGCATTGGAACTTGAAAGAGACCGAAGTTTTCTTGCTTTAGAAGAGTCCTTCCTACAGAAATGGCAAGGGTGGCCTGCCGGCGCTCATGACATCACGAGGGCCTACTATGACTCAGATCTTATTGCTTGCTTGTAGACAACGGGTCTTGGGAGCGGTTCACAGGCCTAGATCCAGCCTCGACAGATGCCATGCGCAAAGATGGTCCGATGTTTTTGAGTCTCGAGATTGACAGAACCTTCCTCGCATGGCTCAGACCTTACAACTTGGCATCCTTTGCAGCGCCCTCCAGTTCTGCATTTATGCTGGGGTTTGATACCGTACGTGGCGGAGAAGAGGTTGCTCTTGACATCGAAATATAGCACACCTTGTTTGTGTACACTTTCAAAACCTGCATGCTGGTTATCACTGGTGCCAGTGATTATAACGCCGTGCGAAAACAGCATATATGGGCTATATTGACATCACTGGGGATGACCCGGCCCGACCAGGCCTGTGCCGTGGTCCGTGTTGTGGGCAGCATTCTCGAGCGATTCGAGAAGCAAGGCTTCCAGGCCGATCTCTCAGATGGGTGTTTTCAGGGTTTCTGGGTTTCGATGGGTTTCGGGCTTCTTGGAAATTGATCAAAGTTCAGGTTGGTATACACGGCTTTCGATTAGATTTTCTTGTCCGGAGTCAGTGGCGGCGCCGCGCAACCTCGGCACTGGCATTCAAAGAAAGGAAATATGATAGAGCTAAAATGAATTGGAAAAGGGACGGATATGTCCTTTCGAGATTCGACCGGTTTCAAGTGCCGTTGAGCCCTGCAGCAGCTCAGTTTTCGGTCGAAACCCTAGACGCCAGACCCTAAACTGCATCGGGCACTTCGATGCATGCGGAGTCGCTCTTCATCTTCCATTTTCCTGAAGTTCGGGACCACCTGATGCCAGGCATCAGGGCCCAATATCAGCCCAAGACATCCTAAAAAATCTGGTTCTAAGCTCCAGCACACGATCCTGTGGTGTGCCTTTGTAGGCTGAACTTGCCTGCCCTTGCAAGGTCCTCTTTATCGGTCACTCGCTGGGTGCAGGCAACAGCGGAAAGCTATTGGAAGTCGAAGACCTAGGCTTCAAGGGATTGCACCGTTCTTGTGCAGAAGTTCACGAAGCACAGAGATCCACCACGCATCACAAAATTGTGGCATGTGGCTGTTGGCAACAGCACCTGTGTTTGCTCACAAAGTCTACTCAGTCTACTCTTCTTGATGACTGGTTAGAGTTCCATTGGCTGGGGTCTGAAATGCACAACATCTGCCGATTGAGGCGGCACTGTCTTGAGCCTGTTTTGGTAAGGTTTCGGTCAGGCATCTTGTCAGGTGCCTTCGCCGTCTGCATGTGTTGCTTCGAAGGTTGTATGCTAGGAGTTTGCGTTGCAGCATAGCAGCTTGTTGTGGCTTGCGGGGATCACATGCAACTTACATTCCCCAAGATCCTTTTCAATGATTCAGCTAGCCGGTTTCCAGCACGAGCCTTCCAGACATGTCGGGATTCGTTACAGACATTGCAGAATAGCTCAGAGTTAATTTCTTTTTCCGAAGGCGTTTCCGCGATCGCTGGGGCAGTATGCCGGCTGGGCATTGAGGGGCCGAAGCTGACCAAGGCAGCTTACGGTGTAGGGTTTGGGCTGATTCAGGGACTTACAAAATTGGGGGAAGTTTAGGGACGTTTAGAGTTTCCGGTTCATGGGCTTTGGACCGCTCGTTCAAGTTCACGGTGTTTTTCTGATCTTGCTGCAGCTTTCGTGTCGTTCTTTGGCGGTCGGAGTTGACGTTCGTGATCGGGAGTCGGGATCCAAGCACGGTACAGGGCCTGTAGATGTCCGTGCACACATGTGTGTGTGTGTGTGTCTGTTTGTGTTTTTGTGTTTTTTTTTTGTGTTTGGGTTTGCGTTTGCCTTTGCGTTTGTGTTTGTGTGTGTGTGCGCGCGCGTGTGACCGCTCCCGAATCGGCACTAGGGAGAACGAAAGTTGCGTTAAGACTTTGCATTAAGCTTGCAGGGGCAGGAGCTCTCCCAGTGGGTCTCCTGCCAACGAAGATGCCCCCATGGAGGGGTGAAAACGTGCCTGTTGTGGTGCACTTGGGGAGATGGACTCCAGCTGGTGGCCATCTAACTTAAGCCCTGACACGTCTCCCAACTGCTGATGTCTTCGTTACTTCGACGACAAGGACTTATGTCCAATAGGCGGAGGGCCCAGCGGTGCACCGTCTTGATCCCTTCGGGGCAATGGAGGAAATAGATGAGGTTATCCTCTCGGTCAGCACTGTTGTGCAAAGGAAAAAGCGCAGAGATGCGAAAGCAAAAGTAGCCAAACATGGCACAGCAAGATCTGCAGTCTTGTCGTCCTAGTGCCGATTCGGGAGTGGTCACACACACACACAGAGCCCCGTTTTTGGGGCAGCTGCAAAGTGGTAGCAAAATGTTGGCCACGCCAGGGCCGAAATGCCTACAGACAACCCCAAAAACTAAACCACAAATCCCTGCAGGCTGCGATGCCCTGGTGCAGAGCTTGTCGTGGTAGCCCTGAATCATGATTTAGGGTTAGGGTTAGGGTTAGGGACTGTCCTTCAGCTGGGCGTGCAGGCCGTGCAGGCCCCCAGAAGCGACAGAGGGATAGGGACGGCTGACCAGCCCCGGCACGGGTCCAGATCCAGCCTTAAAAAAGGGTTAGGGATTGCCCCTCCACTGGGCACGACTGGCCCCAGAAGCGACAATAATGGGGAATGGGGAACTGCTACCCAGCTACCCTCGACCGGGCGCAGGGCTAGCATCTTTGTTTTGGATGTTAATTTGGGTTTCGAGAACTAAGGGCTCGTACACTCCCTTCAGCTGCCAGCACAGACCCGGGAACGGAGTCTCCAGCAGGTGGCCATCTGGATAGAGCCCTGACACGTCTTTCAACTGCAGAAGTCGCCGTTATTTCGACGACAAGCTGTGACATCTACTCGGAACACTCCAGTGTGTGTTTTCGTGTGTGTCTTGGAATTCCCATAGTCCTGGCGAACTGATGTCACCAGGAATCAAGGTCTCATACAGGGTTATGTGGTTAAGGAGGTTTGTGTCGATACATTTGCATGGGAGTCGACACTTTGATCCTGATACCCTCGCCATCGAAGCACCCCCTCTGTGGAAAAGAAGCACCACAGCCTCGCAAGCTTGAAGTTGGTTCCTTCGGTCTCGATTCTGACACCCCAGTCCCACGAGCGTCAGGTACGAAGTCTTTGCTATGCCACCCCGGCAGTCGGCAACGGCACCTCTTCAGACAAGCCGAAGAGTTTGGTTTTGGAAGCCCAGAGCTTTTCGGCGTTTGGTGTGCTCCCCTTTGCTACTTGCATGCATGTTGTCTGCCTCAAGGAAACATACGGTACGACGGTATGACGAAAACATTGCTTGTTTGCTGCGCTGCCTGCGTGAGGTGTCTATGGCTACGGTCTGTAGGCATTCAGGAACTGCTAGTGGTTCCCAAAACCAATGACACGAGCTTTCCAAGTGGTGTGTAAGTATGTTGTTTTGAAAGCCCCTCGGATAGCATCCCAAGGCGACGATGAATCTAACTCGGCTTTTGCACATGGGCATTGCGGTTTCCAGCTGCGGTTCAGTATGCCCTTGGACTAGACACCACCCCAACGTGAAATTACCCACTGACCCGTTGAACTGGGTGTATCCAAGCACCATCTCGCTAGATTCCGGAATTCGCCTTCCACAGCCTCAAGTTTCATACCTGATTTTTTTCAGGGTCAGTCTCAGGACGAGAACAGGTCACCGGGGGCAGCCCAGCCAATGCAAAATTCAAGATCCCTGCACTATTTCAAGCATCTCTCTGAGAAGAAGTGGTATAGTGATACTTACCACGGACCAGCAGCAGCAACAACAGCATTAGTCGTTGTCCTCGTCTAGCTGTTGCAGTGGTATGCAGCGGGTGACTTGAGAAACCCCTCGAGACCTGCGTGACTGAGGTTCTTTTGGTAAGTTTTGCGAGGGACATGCAACGACCGTCATCAACTGCGAAGATGTCGCCGTGAGCCCAGCTCCTGTGTGTAGACTGACTTCGTATGTTTGCACAGAGTATGGATATACGTACGTACGTATGTGTGTTGATAATCTTTTTGTTTATACTGCTTACAACCATTGTAGCTGTACAGTAAGTTTCACAGGTCCTTTTGATTCCTTGACCTGGTCTTTCTGGCTTGAAGTCGCCCCCAGGTCTAGGTTCGCTGTAGGCCTGTAGGCTTAAAGTACCAGCAAAGCAGCCTTTTTGGGGTTTTGGTATATGGATGCAACTAGACATGTTGCTATATTATGGCTAGATTTTCAGAGCCCGTAGAACTTCAGGAACCCGAATGTCTTGAGCCACTTGAGCTACACCTGCCTTTCTTCTCGATTTCTGATTTATGCCGTGGTGGACGTTTGTTTGGTTTCGCCTTGCTTGTGCGTGAGGTCCGACAGCCTTCAATCTAATCTCTTATCCTACACCTCAAGCTGTGCATCTTTTGTCGAGGTGCCCCGGCTCAGCCTGGAAACTGCAAGGAAGCTCCGCGATGAGCTGCTCTCGCGGAAAGAGGCTGTTTGGGTCAAGGGTTTCAAAGTTTAAGGTCTGGGAAATGGCGCCCTGCCCCATGGTTCTTGGTCACCCTCCCCGTTGAGGGCTCCTTCGCTGTTCAAGGAGCGAATCTCTTAAGGCTTGATATCGTCAAAGAGGTCTCATACTAGACTCAAGGGCATGCTCTTTACTACAGTAAGAAATTAAATTGAGTTCCAAACCCTGCCCATACAATCGAGAGCATCTGGGATCGTCCGGTGCGCAGTTGTCGTGCTCTGCTACGGGTGCAAACAATCTGACTTCAACTTGGCAGTCGGAGAAGTCGTGAAGCGGGAGCAGTGCTTTTGTCGCAAGCCGTAGTTCCCGAAGTCCAAATCCTGACCGCAAACATCGCAAAAAACACTTTACCTTATCCAGCCACCTCAGCTCTGTCTCTCTACAAGGCATACCGAAGATTCGTCATGGAGGCACTTGCCGGCAGGGTTCTGTTTTTGTTTTGGAAGCCGCGGAATTCGTGTGGGGAGGTATAGGAGTCAAAGTTCGCATTCTTGGTGGCACCAGTCTGCCCAACAGCCCTCACTGGGCGGGAGGTAGCGTACCATGTTGGTACATGATGTGCGGTGCATAATTTCATGCGATTCCGTCTGTGATGGTGTTTGACTGAATGCTATAGGCTGCAATGCCTAAGCCCTGCAGTGCGAGCAACAAATCCGACTTTCACGTGCACGTCTTAAAAGCACATTCCTAAGTCGACAAGCAGGTGGAAATAAAGTAGTCAAGCAAATCCTGAAGAAGCCGCTGCTACAAAATTCCAGAGCGGGAGTTTCTCGGACAGCAAATAGTAACCTAGCGAATTTTGGGTTCTGGATAGAGCTGCACGAGTCGTGGTACGCCGGTGGTGCCCTTGTTCTGGCCCTTTGTGGGTGCCCAAGCTGTAGCACACAGGCGTTTCTATCGAGACGGGATTGTATGCAGGTTCAGGTCTAGAGTATTGCTGTGGATTGCCGCTTCTGTAAAGGACATTGATGCCTTGAAAGACCTGAACAACCTCACGGAGAAAAAGACGCCTGCGACTCTGCGAGCGGGGATTTCCCGATAGAAGCCGGCATAAGACGGAGACCGGTTCGATAGCTGCCAAATTCTTCAACAGCCTTACGATGACCACCACATCCCTGCGCGGCCTTGCCCCGAGTCTTTTGTCTTAAACAGCCAACCGGGCATCGCTAGATAGGCATACACCTGTATGCGTATGTATGTGTGTATATATATATATATACATGTATATATGTATATATGTATATATGTATATATGTATATTTCTATTTATCTGTTCATTTATTTATATTTATGTTTGTATTTATGTTTATATTCATCTTTATTTTTTATGCATATATTTTCTACTTATATTTATGTTTATATCACACACACACACGCAAGTGCAGAGATTTCTGTTGCCTCAAGTAATCCCATACCAAACCGGTGTAGCTCACAGCCTGGCTTCGTGATCAGAGCTTCTAGAAGTGTCACATACGTCGCAAACAAACCAAGAAGAACTGTTGCGGATGTGTTGATGCTGATGACAATGACTATGATAAATGCTTTCTGAACTGGCGATTCTAATCCAGTTGTAAATACAACAGCCGACCTTAAGCAAGTACAGGTCTTGTTGAACTTACGGAGTGGATGAAGACTTCCTGTCCTTCGGAACCTGGGTCATGAACTCATGGGCTCAATACTTGGGGCCCTCGTTGTTTTGTTTGAGGACTTCCGCTGAATTGATGGAATGCGACGCCATGAGCCGAACAATAGTGAAGATCAGAAGACATCCAAAAGTTGGGCACCCCGCGCGAGCGCACGCGGCTGCACTGGATCTGCTTTTCAGGTTGCACAGAATAGCAGAATAGCATTTGCGGGTTCGATTTCTTCCAACTCTTCGTCACGGCATTTTGGGGCACATACAAATGTGCAAAGGTTGAGGCTTGCTATTGTACTTGATGATAGCTTGGTTTAGGGATCCAGGGTCGAAGGTTTCGGTTCCGAAGGCCGAATGGACGCCGCCAGCAGCCCCAGCCTCAACCCCAAAGCATAAAGCTCAAGCCCGGCTGCCCTAAGCCCTGTCGACACCCCTTTTTGAACCGCTGTCACCCCTACACTGGATGCTCGTACTTGTATCCCTTGGGCTCGTTCCTTGGAAGACGTCGAGGCGTTCTCACTCCGCAGCCCTCAGCGGCAGCAAAGCAGAGCTGCCACTCAGCACTGCTTCAGAGGTTTAAACTTGCGGCCTGCCATGGGGCCTTGGTTCTTGATTTGTGTTTTCTGCTTTTACAGAAGGTTATGCCATGGAAGCATGCATACATGCATGCAAATGCAGTGTAACATTATGTTATGCACGTATATGCCTTCGTGCATGTGTACACACATACGTGCACATGCACGCATTCATACACGCACAATTCCACGCATGTTTTTTTTTGTGTGCTGGCGTTGCCATGCCCTTTTACTTACGCAGTTGACATTAGGGAAGGGTGTTAATACACGACATGCCACAAATCATAAACTTCATAGGCAGGAGACGTCGGAAATACCTGTGTTGTCAGGACATTAGCAATCCAAGTAGCGTTGTATGCTACAAAACCTCAACATGTTCTTCCACAGGGCAGACAACTTTGCAGCCGATCAGGATGCACATGTTGCGGTGAAGTCAGCTTTGTGGAGTTGGTGCGGGTTGGGTGAGGGTGGGCGTGTGTGTGTGTGTGTGTGCGTGTCTGTGTAGGTATGTAGGTAGGTAGGTGGGTGGGTAGGTAGGTAGAGGTTGGGGGGTGGGTTAGGCCGTGGGGCGGGCCCCCACGGCCTTAGCCGGAAACATTTCGTAACAGCCGCTGGGGGCCTTCTAACTGGGACCGGAGCCAACGAAGACGCCCAGTTAGTGCATGTGAAGCAAGGACGGACGCATCCTTGTCTACCTGCTGAAAAACGGGCCCCTGTGCCAAGATTAGCTAGCCGCCCATGTGCAAAGGATCAGGTAACAGTTTTCCCATGGCATGCACGGTTGCCGAAATCTGATTGTCTGTTTTGTAACGTTTGCAACGCCTTTCATGGATTCGACAGGATGGCCTTTACATGTCACAAGAGGGCATGCGGCATGTGCAGACGGGCACCAACAATTAACAACCTGATGGTCGTCGTCCACATCAAGCTTGGGTCTCGCAGTACCGGACTGACTTGTGTCTAGAGAGTTGTGTGTGTGTGTGTTTTTATTTGTTGGTCGTTCGTTGGGTTTCGTGCTTGTGTTGTTTGTTTGTTGTTGTTTTGTGTGTGTGTTTGTGTGTTTGTTTGTTTGTCTGTCTGTCTGTCTGTCTGTCTGTCTGTCTGGTTGGTTGGTTGGTTGGTTGTGTGGTTGGTTGTGTGGTTGGTTGTGTGGTTGTTTGTTTGGTGGTTGTGGTTGTGGTTGTTGTTGTTGTTGTGTTTGTTTGTTTGGTTGGTTGGTTGGCTGGCTGGGTGGTTGGTTGGTTGGTTGGTTGGTTGGTTGGTTGGTTGGTTGGTTGGTTAGGTTTGTTTGTTTGTTTGTTGTTGTTGGTTTGTTTAGGTTTTTGTTGTTAGTTTGTGTGTTTGTGTTTGTTTGTTTGTTTGTTTGTTTGTGTGCTTTTGTGTTTGTTTTTGTTGGCTTGTGTGTGTGTGTGTGTTTGGTTTGTTTGCTTGCTTGTTTACGGGCTTCTTTTCTTTGTTTGCGTGTTTGTCTGCGTGGTTGTTTGTTTGTTTGCTCGTTCGTTGATTTGTTTGGTTGTGTTGTCAGTGTGTTTGTTTGTTTGCGTGTGCGTGTGCGTGTGCGTGTGCGAGTGATTGTGTGTGTGTGTGTTTGTTTGCTTGTGTGTTTTTAGTTTTGCTTGTTTGGTTGTCATTGTGCTTGTTTGTTTGTTTGCTTGAATGCTTGCTTGTTTGTTGGTGTATGTATACATATATATATATACATATGTGTGTCATTGTGTGTCCGTGAGCGCGGTTAATGTTCACATGCATTTGCACATACAGACAGACAGACAGACATACATACATACACGAATACATACATACGTGCATACATACGTACATACATGCGCACATATACACATACACACGGGCATGCATGCATACGAATACACGCACACATGCATACATGCATACATAAGTGACATAAATAAGCATACATACATGCAAGCATACATACCTGCATAAGACATACGTACCTGCATTCATTCAGTCAGCCATCCAGTCGGTCATTCATTAGTTCGTTCATGCATGAATACATTCATACCCACAGGCTTACCAAAACAACGCATACATACATACATACAGACAGACATATATAGATATATACACATGCACAACATACGTACATACGTACATATCTACACGTACGTACAAACAGACAGACAGACAGACAGGCAGGCAGACAGACATGACTACATAAGTTCATACCTGACTACGTGACTATCTACCTGCAATCATGCACATAGGTGCATGCATACTTTTTCGCACGCATAAGACTCAAGACATGCATACGTGAATATGTTGACATGCACTCTCACACACACACACACCACTCACCCGCAAACTGCCAGGCGCCACCCATACAATAGGTCAATAGGTGTATGCCGACATTTGCGGACACTGGTACGTTGATGCTTTGGCATGTGCACTCTCGCATTAGTAGTGTGTGAAAATTCTCCTGTGCATTGAACCGGTGTCGATAGTTTTGCTTAGTACTTGGTGCAGAGGTTTGGTGATTAGTGAGACAGTGTTTGTTGAACATGTTGGGAGTCTTGCTAGAACAGCCTTTGGAGCAAGAAGTCTGATATTGTTTCGTTACATGATGTCCAGCTTTAGGAGTTCCAGACAGTTGTTTGAGGACATGCTGCAGCTCCTCAGTCCGAGCCCCATGGCTACTAGCATGCCGAACAAGTGCGTGGCCAGAGCCTGAACTACATCCTTCATGCCCTGAGAGCCTAGCTGTAAACCCTGATTAGCACATAGCACTCCGAAGCGGTCGCCAGTGGCAGGCAACAGCAAACGGAGGAAGCCGCCAAGGCACGAGAGGGAAGCACATCCGGAAACCAATAGACAGTAGTATAGTCGTCGTCGTAGTAGTAAAAGTAGGTAACGACGCCTGTATGGCAATGACGTGGAAAGTAATGCGTGTTTGCACGTTGCCAAAACCCTGTGGAAAAAAAACTCTATTGACACCAAAACGCATCAAGCAGAAGGACACAAAACCCTGAAACAGAACATGGTTTTTGAGGTTTACAGTGCCAAAAGCTAAGCGGCAGCAGCGATTTCGCGCAGACTCCGAGCGAAACTTTGTCAAGCCTTACTTGTGACAACGTGTCTTGTTCCACATCCTTGCACAGTATGTTGTAAGAAACGCAAAAAAACGCAGTAAATACCTGCATTTTGGGCATGGTCGCCACAGGCATGGATGCTTGTTACAATG